GCGAGGAGCCGGAGCTGGGCGCCGTGCTGCACACCAACCGTGCTGCCGCCCAGGCCCGCCTGGGTAGCCCGCACCGCCTTTCTTCTCCCTGCTCTTTTCTCACCCAACAGCTTCCCCGTGACAAAAAGACCCCCTGAACGCTCAGGACCTGGCGCTGCCCCCGGGCACCACTGCAGGCTTCGTGCCTCGCTCGCCCCAGCACGGCCAGCGGCAGCAACGCCGAGCTGGTTCAGGGGGCGGCGGGAGCTCGGGCGCACGCCGGGCTCCAGCACCTGCTGGAGCGAAGCATTTTGTCACTCCTCCCCGGCCACGTCATCTTCAACTTGCTGCCTGTCCAGCATCCGTGCAGCAAGGATTGGCCTTTTCTGGCCTTTACTGGTGTTGCATGTTGGTAATGGTCTGCCCACAGAGCGAAGCATTTTGTCACTCCTCCCCGGCCACGTCATCTTCAACTTGCTGCCTGTCCAGCATCCGTGCAGCAAGGATTGGCCTTTTCTGGCCTTTACTGGTGTTGCATGTTGGTAATGGTCTGCCCACAGTTTGTCACCTGTCTGGTTGATTCTTGCCCTTTCTTTTTTTGCTGTTAATTTGTTGTCCTCTCCTTCGCTTGCCTCACAGTGATTGTGGAAGCAGTGAATTGCGGAGCCTCTGCATAAGGCTTTTGTTGCCTTGATAGCTGCTTGGATTTGAAGCAGATGAAAGGTTCTCTGTTTGTAGGTAACTACCGTTCTGCTCTCAATGATGCAATCCAAGCAAGGAAGCTGAAGCCCACCCATCTCAAAGCAATCATAAGAGGTAACAACGAAAGCACGTATTACTATGCGGAGTGCAAGTAATGTCCTTTCAGGATAGCCTTGCATACCTTGTTTTAACTTGTCATACTGTTGCTGTTCTAAGCCTTGGAATAGACTTAGCTGCTGCTTTGTTTTACTGCATGTTTCTGTGTGTTAAAGAACACTGTTTATAAACCCTAAATTGCTAAGGGCGTGTAACGTTGTTCCAGAACGGCATTTGTTTCAAAAACGTAAAGCAGTGGCTGTAGGTGGTACCTTTGCTTCTCTTGTTGTGTTATTCCTGTCTCTGCCAAAAACACAGGTGCGTGTTTTGGATTTTTGATCTAAGCACGAGCTCTAAGTCTTTTTCCTCTTTGGCTTCCTTATCTGTAAAACAGCTTTGGACGTACTGTAGTACATAACTTTTTCTGCTTGCCAGTGACACTACATATATATGTATGTGTGTGTGTGTGTATATATATATATATATATATGTATATATATTTTAATCCCTTCTTATTCCTTGGAAATCACTACTTTATTTTATCTTATGAGACAGATGTTGAAGTGTTAATTCTAATGATATAATTTTACTTGTAATAGACATTGATGGCATCATTCTACTGATTTCTGACTAGCAAATGACACAGTGACTGCTAAAGTATTTGAGGTTTTCATATACCTGCTGAAATACTGCCATTTAAAATTACCCTGCAAAGCAATAACACCTGCTGTTGCGTATGCCTTTCGAAGGCACTAGGCCGAATGCTACCTTTATAACCGCTGGTTTGTATAACAGTTGGATACTGATTCCAATGCCAGAAACATTAAAATCTTAATCCTTTCAGGAGCTCTCTGTCACTTGGAGCTAAAGAATTTCTCTGAAGCAATAGCCTGGTGTGAGGAGGGCTTGCAAATAGACCCAAAAGAGAAAAAGCTCATGGAAGTGAGAGCTAAAGCGGACAAGTTAAAGGTAAATATTTTGGCAGCCTGGAGTCTACTATGCCTATCCCAGGGTTGGTCTGTTCTGCCCACTTTGTATCAAGAAGTACTTCGGGTTTCCTTGATGCAGACTGTTCCATATAAGTTTCTGCATAGTATAATTTCCACAAATAGAATTGCATGGTGGTTATGCAGAGTATGTATTGTTGAGATACGTAGGGGGAAAGAGCTGGAATCTTTTTGGAGATCTGAACTGATTTCTCCGCTCATCAGCAGATTAGAGCAACAATAAGCGTTGACTTGCTGTGTGTGACCATGACGCAACCTTTTCTTATACGCAGCGAGCTGAGGAGCGGGATGCAAGGAAAGCAAAGGTGATGGAGAGGAAAGATCAGTGTCAAAAGGAAAGTTTGCTCTCAGCAATAAAGGTGGGCCATTGAGGTTGTTTTTTTTTTTTCTAAATTGTTCTTTGATCAGTGTCAAAAGGAAAGTTTGCTCTCAGCAATAAAGGTGGGCCATTGAGGTGTTTTTTTTTTTTTCTAAATAGTTCTGTTTGTCTCAAGTGTTTTCATATGCAAGTGTTTTTGAGGGCTAGAGCCAAAAAGCTTTGAGTCAAAACCAGGATCCTCCTTATCTGTGTGGCTTCGGCCTTAATTCCCAGGGCTGTTTATGTATTTCAGAGAACTAATATAAAATACAAACCCAGTTTTAGGAGCTGGACCAAGAATTCAAGAGGGTACCTGCCTGCTGGGCTGTAGCATCGCCCTGGCGCAGTGAAGTTTGCCTTCTTTGCTGCCAGTGGGCACCACTGCAGTGGAGGAACAGAGGAGGCCATCTGATAGGGTGGAGGGAGAAACGATCCTGGATGTTTTACTTCTTCAGCAAATGTTGGGGCTATGTTAAAATATTGTACAAACTCTGATGTCCTTTTCTGCAGTTGTCTGTCAGAAGAAAGAGGGAGCCTTCTTCAGTTCTCTGAAAGAGAAGGTGTTCTCTGGAGTGGGTGTGTGTAGTTGCATCCTGAAGTTACATGTGCTCACTCCCCAAAAGCAGCATTCTGGATGCATCCTTTTCCCCACCATTTTCTCAGGCTTTTCTCTCAGCATGCTGGCTCCTCTGGATTTCCAGCTCTCCTCATCCATTGTATGAGGAGTCTGGGGTCTAGTCGAGGATCTGCATTTTACTGGGAAGACCAGTCACCTACCCAGTACTGTAGGAAGGATTTTGGAGGCATGTTTGAGAGTAGACTCTTTAGTAAGAGTGACATGATTTGTCCTTCTGTCCTTCTACTGACTGCTAATTTTCCTGATCATATTCCCCCTCCCTTCTTTTTTTTCCCTTCCCTTATAGGGAAGGAGTATCAAGCTGGTTCTTGAGCCTTCAAATGAGGAAGAGGAAGTGTCAGATGTTCTGGCTGAGATGTCCTTAGATGGGTTCCATTCTGACAATGCCATGGGGGCAAAGGTGCACTTAGACGCTGACGGCAACCTAAACTGGCCTGTCCTCTTTCTGTACCCAGAGCACGAGCAAACAGACTTCATTGCGGCTTTTCACGAGAACACGAGGTGAATGCACTATCAGAATCCTCCTTGAATAAAGGAGATCTGTGAGCGAGTGAAAAGAGATAGTAGGCGAAGCACTGTCCTGCTAGTCAAATAGCTCCAGATTTCTGCTCTCATAGCTGATGCTGCTTTTGACCAGGAGATTGCACTAGATGTCCTCTGAGGTCCCTTGCACCCTGAATTATTCTGTGATTTAGAAACGCCGCTTAAAATAGCGGAAGGTCAAAATCTAGATGGTAAATAAGTTTATAGCAGGGAGAAGCACATCATATCTAGCCAGATTAGAGGGGCTTACAGTGCAAGCCTGGAGCAGTGGTCAATAATACCTGTACCCCGTGCACATGTATGCATTTCATTAAGATGCTGTTTAGAAGCCCTCCGAATATGTGAGTTTCAGAAAGAGGAATAAACCTAAAAATGATAACACGCTTCCAAAAGGGACCTTTTGCGGCCAGCAGTGACCCAGGACTTTTTCTTAGGGCTTACAGCAGGCTTGACTAACGTACTGCAGACTTTTCAGACTATAAGCAAGTGACTGAAAAGGTGAGAATTCCACTTTTCTTGATACAAACTTCACTTTCTGGCCTTGTGAGGTTGGAATTTGTAACTTTTTTGTTGGGGGGCATGTGTATTCTTCAGAGTTACTAACAAATTCATGACTCAAAATCACAATGCAAACAGGTTAGTAAAGCTGCAGTTCTCTTACAGTATTGTTAGGTACACCTTTCACGACTAAAGAAAGTGAGAATGGGTTCTTAGAACAATTTGGCCGCTGGCAGTCCTAAAGTACCAGAGTAATCCTGCCTCTGACACACAGGCTTATTCTGGACACTGTGATCCAAAGAAGCATGGTGCTGATAGGACCACGTGGAAGGGAAATCAGTTTTAGGCAAAATGCAGTGTGTTTGACATCTTTTTCCCTTGTGAAAGTAAAAAGTTAAAAATAATATGCTGTTGCATTGCTCAAGTTTGTAACCTATAGCATGAGTTAAAACATGGCCTTGGTCTCCTTAGGGAAGCAGTGAGTTTGAAGGAAAGCAGCTATGGCCCTTGTATTGATTTAAACTTATTTTTGAGTCTGTTCTCTAATTTGCTAATGGATGTTTACCATCGTTCACATGCAACTGTATAGATTACTGAAGCTGAACTAGTCAGATGCAACAGTGTGGTTTCTAGTTTTTGCTGATGTTTCAGAATACTTTGTCTAAGTTAACGTTATGTATTTTGGCTTTTAGATTTATTGATCATTTGATGGTGATGTTTGCTGAGTTACCACCTTGGGATTTAGAGAGGAAATATCTTCCCAGCAATCTTGAGGTGAGCAAAATTAAGATTTAGGCAAGCAAGCCAGGAAGCTACCTGCTTTTTAACCGCACTCGTAGTGAAGTTGTTCAATGTAAATAAGAAAATATATATTTTTAAAAAGGTTATTTTTGAAACTGAGTACTGGGGTTAAACACTTAATCCCATTAAGTCAATATATGTCTAGTAAGAGTTTGAAAAAATGCAGAATGTGAATTGTTTGTGGCTCTAGCAGGTATGGAGAATTTTTTTAGGAATTGCATATAGAAGAACATAGAGGGTTATTTCCCATTTTCCACTTTGGTGTCGTGTGTACCAGGCAACAGGACAGCCCGTAGTGCAGTGACCGGACAGGTCCACAAGGACAGTGGCGGTGTAGTTGACCAAATTAAAAGCTTTGATTCTAGCTGTGTGTGTGTGTATATGCACAGTCTAAGGCACAGTTGTTGCATTTGAATCTCTGAAATCTTCTCCATTTTGTTCAAATATCTTTAAGCCTAATCAGTTTAGCTCATACCGTTGCTGCATTTCACCAGTTAAAAAGCAGCCTTTAGATTTGGGTTGCTTCTCTGTAAAGCACAGAAACAGACAGTATGTTTTGCGTTCCTGCTGCCACTGTCATAAGAAGCTAAGCAGTTACTGATTTATAGGGGGAAGACTTGGAATTTACACAAAACAAAGTTTCTACGTTGGTGAAGTTAGCATCTGACATGGACAGTCGTTGCGTGGTACCAAAGTTGGATAAACTTCTAGTAGATACATGGTGTGCTGTAGTTACTGGGCTCTCTGCAGCTTAGTAGTTTGCCTTAAAGTATGTTAAGTATTTAATAACCCTCCCAAATTTTTTCAGCTCTATTTTGAAGATGAAGAAAGAGCAGAAATGTATGAGGTGAACCCAGAACACACATTGCTGCAAGTATTGCAGCACCAGAGGTGAGGCTGCTCTAGGTCACTGTTTCACCTGTTGGATTCCAGTGGGAGCACAAAGGCACAGCGAATGAGCTTTGGGCTTTAAGTGCAATTTGTTCTCTGACTTTCCAGTCTTAACTCTTGGCATCTCTTAACTGGGAAGGTGTAAAGCAGTGGAACCGCATGGCTTTGTGCCCGGCGTTAGCAATTTCCCCCTCCCTCCCCTCCCCCCTCAAAAAGAACAACTCCAGGACTAAAAGGAGATGGGAAGGGAAGATGGGGCTACACACGACAGGAGCCCAAAAGGGACTGTTTCTTATCCCATCTATAAGGTGCTACTCTAAAAAAGGCGTCAGCATATAGAGAACACGCTGGAAGGTTAACAAAGCTCTTGCATACAAACTTTGTGAGCAGCCCCCAACACAGCATGCAGCACAGTTTCACTATCTGAGACTGACTTTAAAGGGTTGTTCAGCTGCTTAGAGAAAAACTTGCTGTTTGGTAAGTGAAAATATTGTTGTAATTCTCGTGCTATTAACTTACAGCATCCTGTAGCTAGCTGGAGAGAGCCTGCTGCCAAACGCTAGTGGATTGGTCTGTCGCAGTGGGAGCAGAGCTCTAGTTCTGCTGCTGTGGACTGTCTGAACTGTCACTCCATAAAACTCAGCAGCGTTCATAATCCCTGCGGTTTCAGACTTGAAGGGCTGTGCAAAAATAATCTAGCCTTTCAGAGTGAGAAATAACAGCTCAATATTCTAATTAGAAGTAGATGTTGGGAGAAGAATTGATACATAAAACACTCCCCCTTGGATATGTATAGCTATGGCTATGAAAGGCTCTGCTAATCGGCAAAAATGCTTGTCATCAGCCTGTGGGAGGTCAGTCTTTATTGAATAGGGGGGAAGTCACTCACTTTGCATGACGCTTGGCCAGATACAGGGAAGTCAAATGACGCTTTTTAATCTTTGCAGGTATTTTGTGAAGGCTGGGACTCCAACAGTTCTGGCATTTGTAAAGCATTCTCCTTTCTCTAAGAAGTACTTCTCTAGCAAGAAGGTGCATCGGCTATAATGAGCAAAAAGGAAACGAGGAATCCTGTGCGAGAGACTACTGTTTGTAGTCTGCTTACAGACTGCAACTTTCTGCTTGTACAAAAGTCCCTTGCGCATTTCAGGGGAGAAGGAATCTTTGCACACAGAGAAACTTCCAGCAAAGCAGGATGGTAGGAGAATGGGGGATTTACAAGAGGGGATTATTCACTTAAGAGAAATCTAGCTGGCTTACAAAAGGACATCTCTGTCATAGACTGCATGTAGTTTTGAAATAAACCTGGAGCAGTGCCAAACCTTAGCTGCGGTTGAAGCAACAGCAGCTGGGAATGTACTTACCTGTGAAAAATCACTGATTTCCTTGCAAGGTGAGCTGTAGTTACCTGGGCTTAACAGCAGTCTGCGGTGAGTATTGCCTGCTGGCACGGGACTGATGCAGTCGGATTCCTGCCCAGGCCCGCTCTAGCTCTGAGGATTAAGGAGCAGCCGTTTGTTCACCACTCAGCTCCACTGCTGACTAGAGTGATGCAGAGCTCTTTGTTCAGAGCAGTACGTTTTACTGACCATTTTGCTACTTTACTTGTTGTCCTATATGAACTGGAAATGAACATATCTATTTTAAAAGTAGATTGACTCCTGCCTAATAAATGAGGCACTCATTTTTCTCACTGAATGAAATAGTGCATGGTATTCAAGAGACTCGCATACGCTAATTTTAAACCCAAACATAACAGCCGTATCCATCACGCTAACTGGTAAAGCCAACGTACAGGGTCTTCTGTGCTGACTTTCAGCTTTTAATTAAAAGTAACTCTAAATCTCTCATTTCTCTCTCCCTGAGCTGCCCTGATAAACAGTGACTGCAGAAATAAGTACCGCAAGTGCTCAGGACCTTAAAAAAAGCTATTCGGCCATAAACACTTCTGCTAAGATCACAGAGATTTTTCTCACTCCAGAGCTAGATTCAAACAGCTCTAAGGAAAACAAAAGCTTGGAGTTCCATTTAGCTATTCCTAAACTACTTCAGTGTGCACAAATATACACAGAGAAAGAATTTGAAGAAGCGTAACCCAGTTTCTTAAATCTATCTCCATTCAGTCCTGCTTTGACTCAGTTCCACGACCACTGCTTGCCATAAAGGCCGCTGGCTATGCACTAACCGCTATTACTGTTAGAACTTTGTCTCAGTAGTAGAGCAGTCTCCTTTTTAATTAATGAACGATCCATGCAACAACTTTGTAAAGTCAATCAGAAATTACTGTTACTTCCAGAGAGCACATCTGTACTGTATAAACTCAAAGCAGTTCTTAAGGACTGAAACCATGGTTTTGACCTACTATGAAAAATGTTTCTGTAGTTGGCAAAGCGGAAGGAAAAAAGCACTAACTGCTGAACGGTGCAAGTGGGTGCACTTTGGCCGTGCCGTTTTCTAAGAAATCTTAATGGTCTTTCTGAGTAAAAAAATCTACAAAATTTGCATGCTGCCTACACAAGCTGGGAACTTTGATAAAGATCCTCATCATGAAGTCCACCATAAGAGAAGAGGACAGCTAGCAGCTGTCCCCTCATGGCAGCCTCTGGCACGTTGTGTCCCCTGTACCACTCTGCTCTTTGCAGCAGGCAGGATGAACCCCACGGAGCGGCAGTGCGCCAGCCGGAGCACCTCGCCACAACCAGGCAACGCAAAGCTGCGGGGGGAGGAACAGCACAGCACCTTCGGAGGCATGGCACCGCAGGTAGCAGGAAGCGAACCGTTCTGTTGGTAAGGATTTAGTAATCAGAAAAAATGCAAAATGATCTGTTCAGAATAGTCTACGTGATGGGAAACTCCTGTGAGTTTTGGAGGGAATGCGGTAGGTAAGTGTGACAGCTGGGGACTGGGATTTCCCAGCAGAGAGGGGAAACAGAAGCAAAGGACTCCCTGTCTGAGGCTGCTGAAATTTAATCCTCAAAACTCCGATATTTTACTGCAAGGCACAGATTGGCGGCGGGGAGTTTCCCCTTCCCCACTGCTTTGATTCTGGCCAGCCACCCGTCGAAACGCAGTCCGACGTCTGACCTGCTCTCTTACAAGGCAGAAAGGTGAGCAGCCAAGTAGTACAAGCTCCAGCCGTTGCACGCGATGCAGCACAGGTTGCAGAGGGAGGACAACGCGTGGTAGAGGATGAGCTGCCGGCACATCTTCCTGTAGGCAGGGTCTGACTCGCGCAGCTTCCGGTAGGATTTGCTGGTGAAGAAGCCGATCTCCTGGCCCAGTCCGTAGGTCCGCTCGATCTGGTGCTTGTCTGCCAGGATGTCCGAGGTCATCTGCCCGAACCACTGCGCGTTCAGTGCTGCAACAGCCACGCAGACAAAGAAGACTGTGATCTGCAAGGCAGCAGTGCAAACAGTGAGCATTTAGTGTGTGTGGAGGATTAAATCTCTGGCCAGCTTTGTGCCCTTTTAGGCAGAAAGTGCTCTCGAATCTGTGCGCTAACTGGGTTCTTCTGACGGGAGCCGCGCACCTGCTTGCCACCGCTTACAGCCAACCTCGGCAGACCGGGCGCAGCAAGACCCTGCAGAGGAAGGGACTGAGGCTGCAGCCAGCTCCCCTTTCAAGATGGGCAGCTACCTGGGTCGTTTCTTCCTTGCTGAGCAGCTCACTGGGATGGTACATGGCAAATATTAGCAGGTTGAAGAAGGCACAAGCAGAGCAGATGTGGAGGTAGTAGGGGAAGAGCTCGCTCTGGATGAAGCCGTAGGTGTGCCGGGTGAGGCGGCTGCCCATCACCAGCCCTGCGCGGGGAGGCGAGCGGTCACTCCTGACGCAGGACCCCCTTCGCCGAGCCCTGATCCCGGGCGGGGGATCACAGCAGCGAGGGAGGGCCGGGAACGAACCTACCAGACACGAAGGTGACCCAGATCTGCATCCCCCAGGAAGTTGAGAGGAAGATGAGGTGCAGCAGCTTCGCCACATCGGGGGGCTCTGAGCTGGCCGGCATGGTGCCGGGGTGGCCAGCGGTGCTCTTCCCG